TCCAACTGAAGAAGAGATCTGCTCTTCAGACATCACTGGCTACTTGAAGGGGTAAAATTTCCTGCTAAGAAATAGCTTACTCAACCTGACCTCTTGGAAGAGAGTAGTCACCTAATAGGTGAAACATCAGAAGCACTAAAGGTGCAACCTAACTATAAAGACTGTAACAGCAAGAATTTTCTAACAGTGCCTCTGATCCATGACCTAACCAAGGTACCAGAAGGTAACCAGAAATAGAGAATGAGAGGCAGGATACGTTGAGTGTTGGATAGAGAAGTGTTGCAGGGAGATTTCCTTTACTTTCATGAGCTGTCGTCTTTGCTTCTTGTTTTCAGCCTCATGCAAGGAGAAAAGGTTTGGCAAGAAGCCTTCTTGCACGAGACAGCAACTCCAGTCCACTCCTGGACATGTGGAACGGTCAACAGCATCACAGCATCCAGTGGACACAGAATGATTACTGTCCTCCATTGTAAGCATAGTCGGCCTTGTTGTGCATAATCAACTTGTTGTCCACAAAGTAAAAGCTGTCTGAGCGGGTCTCGTATGGATTTTCAACCATCAGACGGACTGTGAAAGAGAAAACTCAATTACATTCAAAAGCCTGCCACACTCCACTGGACAGCACAAGCTCAGACCAGAAAGGACTCTGCCACTCTGCTGGATTTACCAGGCTGATGCTCTGCCCTACCCTAATAAGAGAAGCAAACTGCGCGGCTGAGCACGCTTCAAAAGCTCTGGCCTGCCCCCTCCTATTCTTCCTAGTCACAGGACAAGTGCTGTCAAAAGCAAACAAAGTGGGATTGAGTAATCTCATCCACGATGACCTTAGAAACTGTCAGAGCCACCACCAGAGCAGAGCAGCAATCACATTTTTAAGCAGAGAGATAGCAATCTGCAAATGTAAAAGCAGTGGCATACCTCACATATACACAGGCAGGGTACAAACTCTGTGCCTCCTCCTGCACCTAGGCAGCCGCAGAAGGGGGCCCATGTGCTCCTGCTCCATCCACCCCCGGAGGTCAAATATACCCTGCACAATGTACATTTGCAGAGATCTCGGTAGGCTCAAAAACACACCTGTCAGAGAAGAGCCAGTGCTGTTCCAAAGCAGGAGGCTCAAGCCCTAACAAGCAAGTGCTGAAAACAGCTGCGTGGCCACAAAGAGAACCCTTTTTCAGGGTTTTGTTATCTTCTGGGCTACACTGTTAGGCATCAGGCACGTCAGCCCTGTGACTCTGATCAGTTAAAAGCAGCCTGTGACTTGACACCACAGGTTGTCCTCGACTTTTGTTTTCAAAGAGAAATTTGCAGTGCAAATCTGCAGTTTAATCAGGGTCACACACATCTTAAACCAGGAACTATCTTGTCCTCTCCCATCCCAGTCATAACTTTTCACAAGTAGAGAGAGGGGAAAAAATGAGCACATGCACACACACAAACAAAACACAACTCGGCGTGGGAAAGGAGATACTTACTAAGGTCTTCTGAGAGCTGAGGGAATTCATAAATGTGTTCACACGTGTTCCTGCTACTGGGGATGCAGAAGCCAAAATCAAAGTCAAAGTTCTTCAGCAAGCGATCTCGGAAGTAATGTCTCTCAATCATTCGAAAGTTTGATACTGGCTTTTCTCCCACTGTGAATTCCACTCTATATGCAAAAAGTAGGAGAAGAACAGCTAAGACAACATACTTCTCTTCCTATTGGGAAGGACAGAGCCTTGGACCCGAGACTGCACAAGGATCTAAGAGATCATTCCAGAAAGAAAGACTTTGACATTCGTAGTGTAAGATGGGTTCTCTCTAGTCAGTTTTGTTACAAACTGTTAAGGGACACTTTGTAAACATCTGATTCTCCCTTCTTTCTGGGAACTCATACTCACGTTGCACCAACAGTCCGAAGACGGAGAAATGCTGGGGTGAACTGGTAACGAACAAAGCGGCCTGCACTAGCGTCCAGTTCACTACTGTCGTCTTCATCCTCATCATCTTGCTCTAGAAAACGCACCAGCTCAGAGTTATTCTGCTAATAGCATACACATAGGGTAATACTGGCTAGCGGATGTATCGTGACAAGCTGGCTGTTACTTAGGCACTGAACCTAAAGGGGTTTAATGATTGGTCTGAGACTCATACCGGCACTAAATAATAAAGATTTGCTATGACAGTTGGCGCAGCTTTGGTGGCTCTAGAGCTAAAACCACACTCAATCTCACAGGATATCCTCCCTCACAATTGCCAAAGCACATGAAAGACAGTCAGTACCATAAGCAGCCAACAAGGGAAGATTTGCAGTTGATAGTACTCCCCCATCTCATGATAATCACTTCACATTTTGAAGAGCAGGGGTAAACTCACTCCTATGCCTAAAGGAAAGGAATTCCGTCACCAGGACATACCAAAGGTTACCTTTCTGCTTGGAATTGCATGGGTCCTGCAACTCCTCAGCTTGGTAAGCCTCTCTAGCCTCCCTCCAATGTTAGGATAACCTACCTGAAGCAGATGGCTTTGCAATTTCAAATAGCACTGTTCCAGTTTCAAGGTCCCGGATCTTAAACCTGGTAAAGTCAATGTTGTAAATGTTGTCCTCAGGTTTGCATAAATAATCTAGAAGAGAGAAAAAACATACATCAAAAGATCTCTGAGCAATTACCAAAATAAGTTCTCTTTTTGCTAGACCCAGTCCATTAAGACACATACTTCAAGTTGTTTTGCAGAAGCTTCAGGAAAGCGGGACAAAACTGAGGCTAGAAGAAACAAAGGCACACTAGGTGCCAGGCAGCAGAGCAAGAAAGGGAAGGGATCGGGACAGAAAAGCAGAGATCTGCACCCCCGAGGCAAAAACAAACAGAAAAGCGAAACCTGAGAAGACCCCCAAACTTTCTGGAAGTTGTAGCGAAGCTGAAGGCAGGCATGCACTCCTCGGCCGCCTCCAGCGCACCGGCCGGCCCCGCTAACGCGGGTCGCCCGGGCTCCGCCGGCCCCGGCCGCGCAGCCCCCTCCGCCGCGGCGGCCGGAGCAGAGCGGGGAGGGCCGGGGTGTCCGCCCGGCACCGCGGGGCCCCGGCCGGGCGCCGCCGGCCCCAGGCGGCCCCTCCCCGGCGCCCGCGCTCCCCGGCCCGCGCTCACTCTCCGTCACCCGGCACAGCCCCAGGACGTGCTCGGGCCGGACGGTCTCCAGCGCCAGCAACTCGGACTCGGTCCACGGCGGCCTGGGCGCCGCGTCGGCCGAGCCGCGCCGCCCCCGCAGGCGGCCGAGCGGGCCCCCGGGTCCCGGTGGCGGCTTCTTCTCCGGCCCCGCCGCCGCCGCCGCCGCCCTCGCCTTCGAGCCGCTCATCGCGCCGCCGCCGCCAAGATGGCCGCCGCCTCCCTCCGTAGCTATGGGAGCGAGGGGCGGGGCCGCGGCGGGTCAGAGGGCGCGGGCGCTGCCTAGCAACGCGGGGAGGGCCCCGAAGCTAAGCAGGGCCCGCCGCGTACGCGTGGCCGGAGGGGAGACCCGAGCAGCGCCCACCTCCGCGGCGTCCCCGGTGCCGGGGCTGTGCGCAGCGGGCGGACGGCAGTGGGGCTGGCCGGGAGGAAAAGCTGGGAGTTACCTGAGGTAAAGAAACAGGAAAAACAAACAAACAAACCCAAACAAAGCCCCCACCCCACGCGAGCAGCACCCACTCCCCGCTGCCCCCCGGGCCGGCAGCGCTGCGAGGCACCAGCCCGCTCCCCGCTCCTGCCGCAGCACACAGGAAGGTGGGAGATCACCCCCCTCGCTGCACCGCGGGGGCAACCGGGTCTCCCGTTAATTAAATCATGGCCCAAATCCCGCAGTGCAGCGGGTAATTACTGAGAGCGGGTGTCCCCCAGAGAGCCCCGGCCTTTTTAGGGAGCGGTGGCAAGAGCTTTTCGGGAAGCAGCGGCAAGCCGGCACGGTGTCGGGGTGCACACCCCACTGCTGCCCTGAGGACACCCCGGCTGCTGTCCCCAGGGAGCTGGGGCAGTGACAGGGCTGCTCAGGGAGCACTGGTGCCCGGCCACGCTCTCCCCGGGTCAGCCAGCCTCCAGCTGTGCCACTGTCCCCCCCAGCATGCACCCCAGGGACAGTGGCAGATGTCGGACGGGTCTCCTGAGCCTGGCAGGAGGGATGCGGGATGTCCCACGGGAGCATCACACCGAGGAAAGGATGCATTTCATCCTGAAAGAGGAGCTGCCCACCAGCCTGCCGTAGCCACTTAAGAGCTGCTAAGAGTCACCTCCATCCCTTCAGGGAACTGGGGCAAGAACAAGAAACATCTGCGTCCTCTTTTCAGACTCCAGCCAACACTCAACACGCTCAAGATGACTGGAAACAGATTTAGAGCAGCAGTTAGTGACGTTTGCTGCTGCTTGTAAGCAGCACACGCCTGCTACTGCCAAACAAATGCTATTTCAAACAAGCCTGCCCATGCCAGAGCTCCCAAATCCTCCTTGCCGAATCAAGTTTGGTCCCTCTATTCTGTGCCCCAGGAAGCACAGATCAAAGAGCCAGGCTGTCTGGAAGAGCGGCTGCTCCACGTGGGGCCAGGGTCCCTCATCCCCTGCGAGCAGGCACACACAGGAGGAAGGTGCCACACTCTCTCCGCTCCAGCTCCAGCCCCTTCTGGCCAGCTCTGACGCAGTTTCAAGCTGAAATCGGGGCAGCTTGCAAAACCCCAGAAGGTAGATTACATCTCCAGAGTTCCTGATCTGAGCAGGAAGCAACAAGGTCCACATCAGCACTTTTAAGAGGATGTTGTACCGTTCAACTTGCACTTAATTGCCCAAAACAACTGGCAAGAGAATTCTGGAGCTGTACCGGAGGCGGGCAGCGGCAGGGAGAGGCTCTGAGCTGCAGCAGCGGTGGGATGTCAAACTGCATCTCGGCAGCAGCCTGCAGTCCCCTCCGCAGTGCAGTCTTGGCCTCCAGCACCGCAAGCCATAAAGCAGAGGGGGGCTCCTCCGCCCCCGCCATAGAAAAGAGGGACCACCTCATCCAAGTGACAATATAATCTTGTTTATTTTCCTTTAACACACTGCTGGTTAAAACTGCCAGACAGTAGATTTCAGAACATTCCCTCAACCAAACATCCTGGGGAAATTAAAAAATAAAACCGCTACCATGTACCAAAAATAAAATAACCCACCCCCACACCCATCTTTTCCCCCAAACTAGTCCCTGCAAAGCCAATGCAATCAGAAATAGACATCTGTGCTTTTCACCCAGGGCCCAAGCTTGCTGCAAAACAAACTAAAAAAAAAAAATGTGACTGCAAGTTGTTATAACAGAAAGCAATGGACAGTAAAATAAAAAAATCCTCCATAAAACCCCTTTGTACTGGTGACAAGTACAGATGGGGATCTCTCCCCACACTGCTTTAGACTTTACAGACAACTTAGACCTGCAGCTTCAAGTAGTTTGTGACATGTCCTCAATGCCAACGCCACAGGTCGCTTCCACGCATCCCAGCCTACGCAGCCGGGCACCAGGGAGCGGTGGGACCTCCTGCCAACGCGAAAAGCTGCTACAACGATGGGACCCAAACGTCACCATCACCTGCCCAGCGCCTCGCAGTCGGGGCTACTGCCTCCTGCACGAAGCACAAATCCTGCCTCTGCTCTCACAGTCTCTGGGGCTGTGTTACCGACCTGGCTGCTTCTTGAGTGGGAAAGCCCTGAAAGCACGAAGCCCCCATAGAAAGCACGAAAAATCCAAGCCCCCACTTGACAGCAAGTTTCCAGACATGGCTTCACTCCAGCACCCTAGCTTAGGAACTGTGACAGTGTGACAGAACAGCCATGGTAGCACAGGCAAGCACATCCCCACTACGTGTGACCGGGAACAACTCCAGGGCAGAGATCCTGCATTTCTTAGATTCACACTCTCCCCAGTTAAACTGGTTCAAGCTGTACTTCACTCCTTGCCTTGAAAATTCCATCACACAAACTCTTTAGCAGAGACTTTTGATGTTTGCAAAAGATTATTCATATTTTCTAATCAGCCAGCACTGTTTCTAGGAGGAAGGAAAGCACTTCTGTTTTGTTGATTTTTTTTTTTTTAAATAAAGCACTTTTTTGGGAAAAAAAATCAAAACCTATCAATTACCTGCAGTAGCGTCCCACTGCTCAGACTGGGGACAGTGCCACCACATCCCTCCCCCTCCCACATCTTCCCCCCAATCTCCAAAAATAGTATTTAATATACAGCAATAAACTCTGAGCAAGCCAGAGTCCCGGAAGACATGGACCTGCTTTCACCTCTCCCATCCAGCCCAGCACCATTTCAATACAGTTGCTACTGTACTCCTGGGACAAATCCGTCTGCATCCAAGGTGAAACAAATGCACATGCCCCAGCCCCACTGGGCAGCGCGTGAAGCAGGGGCGCAGCACGGGAGGCCTATTGGTGTAATCACATTTCTGAGCCTTCACAGCTCTGGCCCGGTGTTGTGTCTGTGCTGTTGATAATACTTGTCGGGGCCTATTTGGGACTAGCCAGTGAAGACAGACTGGTGGAACCAGGCTGATGTTAAAAAAAGCATCCTTGAATTGTATTAGACTCTGGCATTTGTTGTGGAGATGCAGTAGCGCCAGTAGGTAAATTAGCTCAGTGCTGGCCCAGTTCCCATTTCCCTTGGATTCTCAGCAAGGATATTTCCCTCCCTACCACATAAGTGCAAGAAGCAGACGGATCTCTCCCACGTTTGAGCAAACAGAGCCTGAAACACTTGGTACTTCACAGCTGCTCAGAACCTGTCTCACATCAAGGGCTGAATCTGCTCTGCTGGTCCTCTCCCTCTTCCTGCTGTTTTCCATCAGACAGGCCTGTTCATCCCCAACTTCCCATATCAAGACATCTCCCTGGCTCTGCAATTCCATTTCATTTAAAGGCCAAGGGATAAAGCACAGGTCTCTGCTCCCTCTTCAGACCCAAACACTGTGGGGCAAGCCTTCAGTGATTAAGTCTGGGGAGCAGGACCCCCCATGCTACACTCTCCATGCAGAAGCTGTAAGCACCATACAACTACCAGGATGTAGTCGTGACTCACTCAGCTCTGAACTACAAACACACAGGCACCAGACTGCCTGGAAGTTCTCCATTCTGCCTTCGGGAGATTTCTGGGGGAGACCAGACCTGAAGGAGCTCTCCCAGTTCTTCTATCCCCTGCTAGGCTTTTTTTCCATTGACCTCAAGGACTGGAACCAAAGATGCTCGCTCACGGTTCTCTGCTTCAGCTGTGACCTCCAGAGCTGGTGTCTAGGGACAGTGAGACAGTCCCCAGCTGATCGTGAGGGCAGGGAATGCCTGTCCCCTGGGGAAAAAGTAAAAACAACTCAGAAGCTCCTTAAAACAAAAAAGAAGCTTCTTCAAATAGACTTTTATTCAAAGCCTGAGACAAAGGCACCAAAAAGAGAAGGGAATTCATTTGGCTTTCTGCTTACAGCCACCTGGGATACTCAAAAGGGTCAGAGCTGTTGTTTTAGTCACACACACACACAGAAGGGGAAAATGGCCTGGCTTAAAGGTACGAAAGGAGGGGCTGATGAGAGTGTAATTAAAACAGGCTTTGGAACCACTACCCTGAGGCTGGATCCAGGCCCAAAATATGATTGAAGGTGTCATCTTCCCTTTATTAAGTGGAAGCTTTATTAAAATTGCCTTACCAGCCCCTCTACACAACTGCTCCACGAATCAAGCCAGAGTCTGTTCCGACCCAGCTCCCACACTGCTGCACAGGGACTGTATTTCACCAGCCTGCTGCTGGCAGGAGGCAACAAAGCACAAACAGGCTTGCCTCTAACCAGTCTCAACTAAACAATGTTTTGGATATTCCCTCAAACACCCATGCTGGAAAGCTACAACCAACCAAAACTACTTCTTTCCCTGGTCAGGACCAGGTACCTCATTATACCCATCTGGCTGGCTTGCAGATGCTAGACAGAGACAGCAAGGGGAGCCAGCCTGAGTATGCCGTTCCCAGTGAGGTGCTCACTGGTTATCCCCTTCCATCCTCCCATGTTCCCACACGCTTTGCTTGAAGGTGGCAAACCCGTCAGGAGGGAATGGACCAACAAACAAGGAAAACTGCTCATAGCACCCTGACTGGGTCAGGAACAGCCCCACCACCCAGCTTGTCGTGACAAAGATGCATTAAAACAGAGCCAAAACAACTAAATTGAAGCCATGATGAACTATTCCTCCTCCCTATTCTTATTCAAATAAGACAAATTCATTTGATCTGAGCAACTGGAACACAACAGATCACACTCTGCACAGCTCTGCTTTAGGACAGCCAATGGCACCAAATGGGTGCTCTGACTGCCATGAGAGGCAGGGATAAACTATCCTAGAAGACTTCTGACTTTTGCACACCTAAATGCACACCCCTCTTCTCATGCGAGGCAACGTGCAGATTACCGGGTAAGCCACAAGAAGCTGAGTGATTCCTTGTTTCAAGGATGCTCAAATAAAATGCAATCTAAAAGGCCTGGAGGAGAACAGCTCCTTACAGAGAAGCCTGATTTCAAGCCCAGGTTCTTTGCTTAACAAATCAGCACAGTTCACGCTTCTCAAAATTGATAAAGATCTAAATGTCTCCTTGCTCCAGTTAAAGCAATCCCAAAAACGGTGGAAAATCTCTGCAGGCGCTGTCACCAACCAAAACAGAGTTCATATTTTATACGAGTTTTATAAGTACTAGGATTTTAACAGCAGCTAGAAGATGAAGCACACAACTTCAAGCTTACCGCCTTTTCATCCTAAGGTTCGTTCTTGAGATCTGCTCTCTCTAAAGCCTGTCTTCTCCTTCAACTGTGGCAGGGACCCTCTTGCTTCTCCCAAACTGACTGTTACCACTTGTGCAACTGGAAAGAAGGTAATTAAGGTCCTAATGCTTGCTTTTTAGCTCACACAGAATTGGGGTCAGGCCCATAGCAGCGATGTATGAGATCAGAAAGGCAAGGTTCAGTGCCACTGCTGCAGAGAGCGGTGCTTTGACACCTCCCCCAGCTCCAGTTCTGGAGCTAGTGAGTTGGCAGCTCACATCACAGCTTGAGGGTTAGGAGGAAGCAAAGGCTTCAGCTGCTTGGGCCCGGCAGACCAGAAAGGCGGCTCCTCCGGTTTCCCTTCCAGAAACTAGGGAATTCTGCTGACCCTTCTCAGCTCAAAGAAAGGCTGAGCCACTGCAGGGGATCAAACCCAAGAACAACCACTAAGAAAACTCAGGCCCAGGGCAAGGACATTGCTCAGTGCCACTGCTCCGGGTAAAGAGAGAGCATTTCTGAGAACAGAGATAGCATGAGGTAAAGTATCCTGTGAGGCCAGAGCTCACCAGCATCGAAGCTGGCCCGCAAGGACCCAACCCCACCTGGGACAGATCTTGTTCCAGCACACAGAACATCTCCCACCTGCCAGCCAGAAGCACTCAACATGCCAGAGGCCAAGACCGTGGAAAGGCAGCTCGTCAGGGCCTGCAGCTCTGGATCAGCAGGCGCAGCGAGGGCTTTCACTCTGCTCAGCCTCTGTCGGCCAGCCACAGGCTCTGCATGCGGAAACAGAAGCCTCTTGCAGAAATACTCCCAGGGGAAGCGGGTGACCTTGTCTCCAGTGTTCTGCTCACTTCCAGATCTCTGGAGGGCAACAAACCACCTTGCTCTACAGTACTGAAGTGTTGGATATCTGCCCCTTCACCACAGTGACTTGACACATGAAAGACTGGGCTAACTGAAGATACTAACCAACTCCACTGCATTTCCCACCACTGCAGGTGAGTCTGATCCCTATGACAGGGAATCAGAGCCCACAGGGAGCATCCGCAAGGTTGCTCTGCTCTGTCCTACAGCACAGGTTGTTCACAGTCACAGGGCAGGGAGATAACTGTTGGGAAGGTCAAGGAACAAGTCCAGAACCTCCTCACTAGGTCATCTGATTCTCAGCTTCTTCCAAAGGAGAGGTCACTTGCTAGAAAGGGCAAAACAAGGAACTGGGCTTAAAATGAAGCCTTTGAAAATAAAAGGATATTAAAGTAAACAAAAGCCATAATCAATACAGAAAACTAGTGCATCTGATCAGACGCTAACGTCAGCCTCTTGCGGCTACAGCAGAATCCCTCTGCAATGGATCTAGCATTACAATTGCCAAACTAGGAAAGTCTTTCCCAACTGGTGCAGCAAATCAGGCCAGATAAATCCCTCTGCTCCTGGCACAGCTTGCAGTCTTAGGAGGGGAACATCTCCACAGAGGCTGAGCAGCTAGCTGGAGTCTTGGTATTTTTATGCAGGTGAGTACCATACATCGTGTTGTACACACTTGGGCAGATGCTGAGCCAGGCTCCGTCCTCCATAGTAGTTAGTCACCCAATGGCACCACAACATTTCCATGCTCCTGGACACAACGTGTACCCAGGCCTGGTTTCAAGAGCTGCTTCCCTGCTTACGGAACCGTATTCTACCCAGCACAGGCAGCACATGGCTTTCTCTCAGTGCAGGACGTGGCCCAGGACTGGTAGCATCAGCTTTCAACAGCCCAATACACAGCCAGCCAGGACTCAGTTTACTCTTGGATGCCCCAGGGAGGATCAGAGGCTGCACGTGGTATGAAGGGGAAGGCAAGGGCCTCGCTGCTTGCTGGCAGGGGGAAGGTAAGCTCCATCTTACCTGAACCTGCTACTCATTCCAAATGAATCATCTTTTTTTTTTTTTTTTTTTTTTTTTTCCCTTAAATTATGAACAATATGGAGAAATTGAAAGCAACCGTGTTTGGTCCAACTCCTTCCCTCCCAGCCCCGTGGCTGATGCTCTGTGGGGCTTGCTCTCACAATCGGCAGAGGCAGAAGAGGGTAGGAATGAAGACACCAAAGGCCACCAATATAGGAAACATGAGGCTGCTGTTGTCCGAGGCATAGGGGTTTGGTGTGCGTGGGCCTGACTGAACCCGGTTCTTATTTGCCTGTTTTTTAACACTGGAGCCATCATCATATTCATCTTCATCATCGTCTTCCTCTTTTTTCTCCAGACCTGGGTGTGGCTGCAGCTTTGGAACATCTGTTGGACAAGACAAAAGGTTGCAAGAAAGCAGGATGTAACTTGGGAAATCACCTGAGTCACTCCGTTTCCCTCTCCTCTATCCAGCATGAACATGGGCAACACGGCACCTGACCACCAATCAACACCACAGCCAGAGCACGCCAGGAAATAGGAGCATCCTTCCTCACAGAGGCTCACACCACTGTTTCTTTCCTCCATGATGTAAGAGCATCTAAAGACCCAGTCTGCAAAGAAAACAACATCCCTCCACCCCATCTACGGGTCGCACAGAAGAAGTTACAACACAAAAGCACACTCACAGCATACACAGTCAGATACCACAGCTGTACAGTAAGATCTAGTCAAGAACAAGCACCTGCTGCCTGTGGAACCAGCAGATACAGGTGGAAACAGGAATGGAAACAATCCTTTCCACAAATGGTCCTACCTCACATCACTGCATGCCGCAGCCCCAGCCCTATCAGAGCAGCACAGCCTAGCCCCACTCAAATCCAGTCCTCTGAGCCTGAAGCCTGAACTGCAGGTCCCCCACACAGCAAGGTGCCACCTAGCCACAAGGTTACACACCAGATCAGCAGCACTTGGCAATCCCTGATCAATAGTAAAGCAAACTGATGCTTTGGGGTCCTAAACCTCCTCTGTTCAGGAGCTAGAGGGGCTCCAACTCCAGCACAGGCTTAAAAAGAAGGTGTTGAAAGAGCAGGGACTTTACTAGCACACTCCACTGCTATCCAGAGAAACTCATATCTGGGAAAAAACACTGCCTTGTCCTCGAGCTGAGAAGGCAAAATGAAGCTCCAGGTAAGAAACACTTAACTACTGCCTAAAAAATCTCCGTAAATTACTTGTCTGCAGGGCTGCTGCTGTAATCCAAGTCCAGAGGGAATTTATCAGTAGCTATAAGCTAAGTCTGACCAGACATGTTCCCTTCTCCTATGCAGGAAATCCCAAACCAAATTGATTTTTCTTATTCCAAAAATGACACAGCTCTGTGCACTTGGAGGAGTAGGAGGACACTACACACCTATTTCATTCTGCAACTGCACTCTGTGGGAACTTGCTGAGAGAGAAACAGTTTTGCCAGAGGCGGGTCAGCAAGAGCTATGATCTCATGGTCTGAGAAGCAGCAGGCTGCTCTCCAAGGGGGAAGAGCCTTCTGGCTCAAAAACTGTGCTTACCTTCCACTGTTCCTTGCAGGATGTATAGGGCACAGATTTTCGGATTGTCATAGTAGCCCTAGAGAAAGCAAAGAAGGAAGTCAGTGCTGTAGCTTTGAGGCAAGAAATATTCTCCCCACCATCACCTCTCCTCCTCCAGCACGCAGCTGCACCACATGGCTGGGGAAGAACAGGAAAAGGAAGATCAGGGCTCTGCCCAGAAAAGCTTGTTACCTTTACAAACTCAATGTGGAGTTTCCCTGTGAACGTGGAAACCTCTCCCTGGACACTCAGTTTCCCCTTTTTGATACTCATGGGAATGATCTCATCGTGAGCTGTGCTGTGTCCAACTCTGTCAAAAATGTCTAAGTCCTTCACCACCACGTGGCCATTCAAGCGAACATCAAATACCTTCAGAAAGTGGAAGAAATGACAGTGTCAGAATGGATTCAGGCACGTGATGGGTGAAGGGGGAATAGAACAGGAAAGGTCTCTGCTCATTATGCACACAGGAACAGAAAGCACTGCAGCATGCACTGTCCCACCATACATGCCCCACTCCCTTGGGAAGGATTCAGCCTAAAAGCAGCCAGGTAAAGGCACTGAAGCATTAACATTGCTTTCAAATATCCCGAAATCTGCTGCCTACTTTTAAAATAACCCCTATATCTGCTGTTCAGAACTGAGGACAGCACAATTTTATTCTGGTTTATTCATACTCTTTCACAACTTTCTTTCCACCTACTGGCTGAGGACCTCCTCCTACCACCCCAGGGTGGCTGCAACACACCACACCCTAGGGAGTTAAGCCATTTCTAACTAACAGCCTGCAGCAGAGCAAAGAGGAAACAAGCTGGTGAAGGACACAGGGTTTGAAGGAGATAAAATGTTGAACTGCTAACCACATCTGTGAATTCATAGTGAAAGTCCTCCTCAGGGCTGTAATGACTCAAACTTCACTCAGCACCTGGGGAATCCCATCAGAACCACATGAAGGAAGAGAAACCAAAGATGCCTCAGCCCTTCAGTTTAATCTGAGGCTGCTTTTTGCATCCATTCCATAAGCCAGTCCCACCAGTTCTGTTCCCTGAAATACTTCTCTGGCAGGCAGGCAGCACAGCGCTTAAGGAGCAGGGCTCTAAAGAAGCTGATGGAGTCAGGGGAAAAGCCAGACTAAAACACACACCACCTCTCTCCTATTTTATCACAGAGCTTTGAGTTCTTTGTGCTTCTGCTTCCACATCTGCATATGAGGGATTTCAAAAGTGGTTAAGGACTGTTCTTCTCTAAAGAACAATAAAGAGGGTTGAATTTAACTCTGTGCTTTTGGGATCAGTTTGAACCAGTAACAAGTCTTCTTACATTCGTAAAAATTGTTTTGAGTAAGTTATTTAACCCAGATCATTTCTCTGATTCAATCTGTGCAATACTTCCTCCAGCACAAGCATGCTGTCAGGTCAGGAACAAGTGTTCAGTGAAAAGGCAAAACCACTTCTTCTCAAAGGCAGCATGGCCTAAACAGATCGTAAAACTCTAGTGCTAGTTATGTTTAGTTGTATGTTTGTTTGAATATGTTATAATGCAATTTTCCAGGCCAACTGTACATCTGAAACGTGGAAGACACATGAAATGTGGAAGCTCGAAGTTTCAGAGCCCATAAGAGCTCTGGGAACTAAGTTAACCATTAGAGCCTTACTTCACTCCTTTCTTCAGCATGCAAAGCAGAGGAAGCAACCTGGTCTTAGCCAGGAACTCACATCAGAGAGACAAGCAAGGAGCTGTTGCTTACCTTCTGTTGAGACTGTGCAAAATAGACCTCTGCAAACTTTAACACCAGCACATAGTCACCCTCCTCTTTGATGGGAACTTCATAACCAAAGGTTTCCTCATTGTAACGCTCGGTCTGGTACAGAATCTGATCCTCCGCATTGGACCGCAGGATTGGCAGCTTCATGCCGTAGTCAGAAGCTGGGTTCCAAGCCCAAAACAGTGAGAGGAAGGGTTAACTTCTGAGGCACATGGAAGAGACACTTTATATATTCCTTAAGTGCTTAACTCCCTAAGTGGAGTTAGCACTTGTCAGACCTGTCTCCCCTCCTTGCTCTGACCAGGAGGCGGCACTACTGGAGCAGAAGCAGAGGTAGCCAAAGCCCTAGAACCCAGGTCTTGTAGAAAAACGGGTCTGGACCTGCTGCAGTCTAAGTTAGACATAGTAAACTCACTCACACCTTTTCAGAAAGAAGAGTCTTTTTCACAAACAGGGTGCAGAGCCAAAGGACTTGGCTATTGACTCCTTCAGAGGAAAACCACCTAGAATATTTTTACAACATTTTCAAATTTTCAAAGTCTGAGTACAAAACCAAAACAGTCAGCATAGGACTGACTCGACTCATTCAACAGATTTGAATTTAGCAGTCAATGGCATCAGGTTTGAGACTCACCCTCCTCAAGTGAAAACGTGGGGAATGACAGAAGGGTAAAAAGCATTAGACATCTTACAAAACCCCTTCTCACTATAGTCACGCAATACCTGGCAGCTTGAAGACAGGAAAAAGCAAGAAATAGAACACAAAGATTTCAAGAGCACCAACAGCCCCATCAGCTGCTGTTCCCACAGCCACACAGCTGAAATGGGTGCTTCCTGCAGGCATTGGAACAGCCCCCTGAGAATGGCCCAAATAACATTCCCAAGTGCAACAATAACTGAGAAAATATCAGAAATCATAAGACTTGCCTCTTCTCAGTCATTTCACCACCTAGAGCAACCCTCAAACGACTTTAACACTGTATTGTGTCAGGGTTACTGTACAAACGCAAGGCGATGTGTGCCTCAAGTGCTCAGAATCAAGCAACGAAGAAGGGGCAGGAGGGAAGACTGCAGACACCACCTGCCCACTGGCACTTCAGACAGAAGTTGATCTAGACTAAGTTCTCTGCTGGCACTTGCCACTTCCACCCCCATTTCCATGGGAACAGACACTGCATTGGCCAAGACAAAGCAAGAACTACTAACCCAGCACACATTGCCAAAGATGGAGCCAATGCAAACGAGCGAAAGGAAATTAATGCCAGTTCTTAGTCTCCTGTTTCACACAGACCTACACTCGGGCAATCTTGTGCTTCTCTTTACCACTCAAACCCGGGCGTAAAGGCTGAAGACTCTAATCACCAGAAATACAGAGGGTGAAAAGTTTAACCTGTCCTCCCACACAGATATTACCGGACAGGTACAGATTACAGTGATAGCAAACCAAGGACTCCAAAGAAGTCAGCTCCTATTAGAGGAAAGCCAGCATAGGAATTAAGTCCTTTAATATCCAAGAAGGTAACTGGAGAGGAAGACCTGTCACCTGCATATCAGAGGTCTGTTGACATAGCTGTGGAAGTGAGCTTGATTTTATAGCACGCTGGGTGTGCTGAGAGGTAGCTCACAGAGAGGAGCAGTATTCATTAAGCTTCGACACAACCATGCTTGGCACCTGGCTATTCTCTAAATGCCACCAGCACATTTTGGCCTTTAGGGCACAGCATCTGAACTGAGGCCTGAAAAAAAAAAAAAAAGTTTTAATTTGGCCAGAGGCAGTACAGCCCAGAAACACTATCCCTAGGTTGTTTCCTCCCAGTCAGCCACATACTTCTGCTGTAGCCATCACATGCCTATCAACGCAGAGAGGAGCCCAGAGTAAAACGAACAATGGTGCAATAAAAAGCCATTGAGGGAAAAGCAGCTGAGAGCTCAAAGGGGTAAAGTCTCCTCTGCCGTGCCTGGCACCACTGGCTGAAGGAGGATTACTGGAACAGCCTGCTGTTCAGAGGAAACATCACAGGCTTTTCCCAAAGGAAGGGCATGTCACAGTGTGCTTGAAAAAGACACTTTTTTCTCCTGGACTGAAAAATAAAGTGTTCAAGTCCACGGGGACATTCTCCTTCAAGTCACACATGTGAGAGGTCTGTTAAGTGAAGCTGACCTACAGCAATCAGGGCACCCTGTGTGACTGGGGCACCAGCAATGCCTAACAAACCGCGTTAGTATTTAAATGTGACCTCCCCTGTATCCACTGCGCACAAACAGCTCTCTGTTCAGGATGGCACTCATGCAGGGTAAGCAATGGCAGTCCTAGCTGTATAGCATAGGGCAATCCTCACCATCCTACATGGAAACAGTGAAGGTTAGACTTAAAAGTCAACAGACAGCTCATCTTCTCTGCACGCCACCATTCACCTGTAACTCACAGCAGGAGCAGCTCAGCACAGATAACTTTTCAAGACATTTGTGAATCAACTAGGTTTTGGTGCACCAATTATCAGAAAGACACAAAATTCATACAACTGGAATGATTTCAGGGGAAGTAGGAAAAGGTAACCCAAGTGCAAGTAAAGTATTAGTTCTTCATCCTGTCCTTACTGGTAGATCTTACTGATCAGTAGTTAGTGCAGCTGATCATATCCCATCTGCCTCTACATCTGCTTCTGTCCCTGCCCTGCTCTTGAACACCCTGCCAGGACTGGAGCAGTGGTGCAGACCAGCCAGCTGCACCTTCCTCCTGCCCAGCCCCAGCGAGCAGCCTGCGCTCCTCCCTGTTGGGACCAGGCTGCTGGTGGTCGGCATCACCCTGCGCCGTTCAGCTGCGCAGAGCAGGCAAAGCATGTTCTCACTTTGCTGAGCGCTGCAGGCTGGGCTTCAGACTGGCAGGTCTTGCTGTGGAAACTGGGGTCTTTCAGTGGAAAAAAAAAAAAAAAAAAAAAAAAAAAAAAAAAAGGAGCCAGGCGGCTGCATGCGGCCGGTTTGGCAGCCTGAGCGCTCCCGTTGCCTTTCCAGCCGAAATTCCACTCCAGCCCGCGAGGAGCGACTTCTCCTCCGGCATTACACAACCCCGCAGCCCGAGGCCGAGGAAACCAGCCCGAAGCCCGCAGGGCTCGTCCCGCCGCTGCCGGGGCCCGGGCCCCGCTCCGCCGCGGGGATGGGGGTGTGCAGCCCCGGCGGGAGTAGGGGGGTGGCCGCGGGTGACAACTGCGGTGCGGGGGCTGGGCCGGCGCTCCCCGCGGGGCCCCTCGCTGTCTCCCGGCCGCCCCCTTCGCGACGCCGGGCCCGGGCGGCTGAGGAAGAGGAGATCCGGCCCGCGGTCCTGCCCGGGTCACCGCAACGCTGCGGGGAGACCCACCGCCCGCCCGCGGCGGGGCCGGGGCGACGCGAGTCCCCGACCCCCGCCGACACGGGCGGGCCTCGCCGCCCTCAGCGGAGCGGAGCCGCGGGGGGCCCTGAGGGCAGCCTCACCGACACCCCCCACACACACACCGGCGGGGCCGCCCGCGCAGCACCGGCGTTCCCCGCCCTCACCTCGGCCCACGCGGCCCTCGAGCGGGTCCTTGCGGAAGTGGATGCCGTTCACGTCCACATGAGCATCGCCGCCCGCGTTGACGGCCCAGACGACGCTGTCAGCGAGGCCGCCCGCCGCGCCCCGCAGCAGCGGCAGTAGCAACAGCAAGGGCGGCAGCAGCGGCGCCCCGCGCGCCCCGGCGCCCACCATCTCGGGCTCCCGGCGCCGCGCCCGCCCCTTCCTGCCGCCGCCAGGGGGCAGACTACCCCGCTGCCGGGGCGGATCGCACGCTGGCCAATCCGCGCGCCGCAACACGAATATTAACTTTCCGCTCGTCTGCCATTCGGCGGCCGCTGGCCTTTATCTGCATATTCATAACTTGCTGGGCCAATGGGCGGCGGGAGCGGGTGAGCAAGTTTAGTTGAGAGGCGAGGGGACGACGGCGCGCTGCGGAGGGAGGCGTGCCCGGCGGGAGCAGAGCGGAGCGGGGAGTCGGTGCCTGCGAGCCGGGAGTGCCCAGGGCCGGTACCACCCGCTCGGGGAGGGGAGCGCCGGTGGAACCGGCTCCCCCGGGAAGAAACGGCAGAGAAGGATGAAGCTTCGCAGTGGCGTCTCCAGAGCGCGGACGCGGCCCGGCGAGCTGCCCTCGGCGCCGGACGCCTGAGGGAAGAGCCCCGCCCCCTCCGCCCCTCCAATCAGGGAGCTCCAGCGCAGCCGGAACGCAAAGCACTGTGGGACGGCGGCGGGACGGCCAGAGGGTTACCGAGGCAACGGGCGGCGGCACCGGCCGGAGCGGGCCCTGGCCCGGGCTGGGCCCCGCGGGCGGCGGACAGAGGATGCGGGCCGGGCCGGGAACGGCCGCGGGGCTCGGGAGCTCCGCTGCCGTCGGGGACGGCTCCTCGTTACCTCCCGGCAGTTAGGTGTCCGGTGCGCTCGGAACGGCAACTCCCGGTAGTGATTCTCTGCCGCAACGAAACAGGCTGGTTCGCCCCTGTGTGGAGGATGGGCAAAGGCCGGTACCGGCCCGCCGAGTAAGGAGCGAGGCAGCTGGGTGGTGCAACCGCTATGGATCACAATAATCTGCTTGAAAAGTCAATCAGCCAATAAAAGAGGAAGGTGGGGGAGCTAACCCTTACGTTGCCAGTGATTTTTATCCTTGGGTTATATTTAACAGAAGAATGTTGAGATCCTGGGGTTTTTTTCAGGAGGACCATGGCGAGGTCTTGGGAGGGCTGGCGTGAGACATCACAGGTGGACATGGGATGAAACTCGCTTACTACGCAGTGGGAGAGCAAGTAACTTAATGTTTGCCTCCATGTTTGCCCTTCTGTCAGATCCCCATGTTCCTCAAAGCTTCAGACACCAGCCGGGTCTTGTGTCTGCACTCCAGTCACCAACTCCAGTAGCAGCAGCTGCTCCTAAGTCCCAATGATATTTTATTAATTTGAGTCTGCCACAAACCATTTGCTTTTAGAAATAAAGACTTGGTGGTGCAGATTGAGAATTAAGTGTGTTTGTTGCTTTTGTAATGCATTTAAGAGGCCTCTTATCTGAGAACTGAACTTGCTTAGGTGGGGGGGAGCTTTAATCTCTGACCCTGTCTGCATGAGAAAATAGTAAAACTCTCTGGAATTATAAAGGGGATAACCACCCACCCCTTGCTTCCTAACCTGCTCTGCGCAGGTCGGAGTTCCCCAGAGCGTGTTCCTGCTGTTGTCACATTGGCTCTTGGGCTCATGGTATAACTGGGCCAGGACAGACGTGGCAGTGCTGTGCTCCCACACCAGCACTGCTGCTGGGAAGGGGTTCCTGAAACTGCAAGGTGGTTTAGGAAACTGCAGCCAGAAAAGTAGTGCAAAACACAGACACTTAGCACCTCTCCAGATTAAGCCACCTCATGCTGGTTTGCTGGCAAATTGTCTCAGCATTACAGACCCCAGCCCTGGCAGCATCTGGTCAAATCCAGACTAATCTCCCGTATCCCTGCTGTGTTTGTGACCTGTTGGGTGTCCCCCAAGTTCGGTTAGCAAAGGAGTGCAAAGTAGCCATGGCCAAAACAATGCTGTCCAGTTGGCGAGGCCAAGGGAGGCCTCGTTAAAGCTCATTTGCACTGATTATAGATTATCCCTCCTAATCTCTCAAGATTTCTCAGTTTAAACTGCGATGTGCTTGGGTCAGGAGCACAACTTCAAAGCATGTAAACACTTTGTGTGTCACCAGGTTACTGCCATGAGCTGCAAAAGTGAAGTGGAAAGAGGGACGTTGTGAATCATCAGCAGACTGAGGAGACAGCCAGAGCTGAACTTACAAACAGAAATGTCCGTGGGTGCAAATCCTCATATTTCCAGTCCTGAGACCCACCAGGGCAGTAAAGGTCCCACTGAGGGCCCCACCCAGCCCCTTGTGTGGCCCAGGTGGGCCAAGGTAGCTGGCAGGACTCACACACACAAAATGGCAGTGATGGCCGGGCAGAGCCTGGCTGAAGCCTTGTTGTGCCTCTTGGTGAGCTGGGGAGCATGAGGCTCACTGTGGGACTTTCACTGCCTTGGTGGGCACAGGGGCCGGGCAGCCGGTGACTGGGGCTTCATCGCAAATCCAGCATCAAACTGCTCAGCCCAGACCAAAGGTGCCCATGAGCAGGAATTCAGACATGAAGGAATTTACTAGCCAACATTTAGGAATGACCAAGGCAGGTCTCTTGTCTGAAGGGGCCTCTTTGGCCCCAGATGCATACAAGTGCAGCCAGGAGCTAACCCAGCTCATCCCCTGACTTGGGAGTGTCACCAGGGGCTTCTGTGGCTGTGCCAGCCCTGGGGTCCCTGTTGGAGGCTTCCAGGGCACCTACACATCTCGGCAAAATATCAGCAACTCTTCCTTGAAAAGAGAAGAGTTTCCTTGAAAATTAAGAGTTCCCCTCCTGGAACAGAGGGGAAAATCCTGAGAACTCAGCCTTTCTAGAAGGCAAGGCACTGAGCACTGCAATACCTCCTCTGCTTCCCCAGTCAGAGCATCTCCTAATAACTAGTCTGGATGATTATTTCCCAAGAATCAGCAGCCCATCATGAAGCAAGAGAGATTAACTGAGCAGCAGCAAGTGAGGAGAGAGAGTGGCTGTGCTCACCCGGGTGCAGGAGGAGCACTCGCCCTGGCTCACGGTCTGGCCGTGGCTGCTGGCAGAGGATGGCGGATGTGCCGTGATGGCCTGTGTCCGCCACCTCCTACATTGCCGCCCCTGAATCGCTACTTGCAGTCACCAGCAACTTGATGCCAGCTTGTGTCCCAGATGTCAAAGGCTCAGTATCCTGTTACTAATCCACTGAGCCATCAGTCCCTTGATGCAGGCTGGATTTACACCAGTAACCTGCAAGTGAAAGGCTCAGGGTTGTCTTCTCAGTCCCTTGATCTCTGCCTGTCCCCTGGCAGCTGTGCCAAAACGACTCTCAGTCTTGAATCAGTCCTGCCTGGTCTATCTACAGCCCTGATCATTCATAAGTGGTGTGGGGCATGTGGTTTGGGTATTAGCCATCTCCTGCAGGAAAAAGGGATCGGGATTTGGGATGTTCAAAAAGAGCAATGGAGACATGTGGGTCAGAAGCAGACCTTGTGGCTAATTAGACTTCTAAGAAGTCAACGTGAGACAGCCCCAACTGCCTGGGTGAGCTCCCAAACCACATGGGGCTACGGGGCTCAGGTGCCCAGTGCGGACCGGCTCTGCCCTGCCATGTGGAGCTGTTTGGAAGCCTTCCTGGTACTGGACTGGAGATGAGAGCAAAAGATTATGTCTGGAATTAGATTATCTAGATTGGAGCTTTAATCTCTGACCCTGTCTGCACAGGGAAATAGTAAAACTCCTTGGGATTATTTGGGGCTTGTTGTGCAAGTAAAACCAGGCTTGTAGCAAGGGCTTGCACTGGAAGGAAAAAAAATGAATGCTTTGGAGACCTGCCCTGTCTGACCTGATCATTGTACCATGGTGAGACCTGGCAGAAATGAGATACAGATGAACTGGCAGAGACCCAGCTTTCCTACTAGGAATCAGCTGTGGCTCCAAGACTGCCTTTGCAATAACACAAAGGTGTCCTGCAGCCACCCTTCCCCTAGCACTCGTGCTACTGTGTTTCTTGGGAAGACAAACACAGCTCTTCCATGGTACAAACGCAGGGACCTGCCTAAGTAAAGATGGCAGCAGTTCACAGAGAACATCCCTGGCAACCATGATGCTGCACTGTTGACCAGTGCAGCTTCTAGAAATGGGTTTACAATTAAGACCATGTCCTGCCATCTGATGATACAGGCAAAAGATGCATCTGCTAGGTGCAGGACCCGGGAAGAAGCAGGCAGAGGCAGCCACCACGCTTGTTGCCACTGACTGTCCGTCAGGCTCACGCACATTGGCTACAGCACAAGGCATGTGCCTTGAGTCGTCACCAGTCCCCACGGGCAGGCACAGTCACTGCTGCACACAGGCAAGCAGCGCAGCTGTCCTCTTGCTCTACATACACACACACATTCCTCCACAGGCTGCACTGTACGTGAACCACATCTGTGTATCGACACTCCCTATGGCAGACACAAGCCCGCACAGGTCTCTCCCTCCCCAGTGTTATCCTAAGTACATACATAACCTAACAGGACTCTGGACTCTGTTCCATTTATAACCCTCATCTCTTAAACACAATCCAGCTGCTGTACCAGTAAATATGGAGATCTGTAAATATCCATTTTCCAATTTCTTGGCTCACACTTACATTTCTAAGACTGGTCCAGATCCATACACACACATAGTTTGCATACACCCACTTGCAAACAAACTCTTCTACTGCTGCACTACCAAGTACCTATCTGCACTCCCTGCTTTTATGCACACACACACAAACCTTTCCCAGTGCACATGCCTGTGCAAACACCAGTACGCACTCACACAAATATAAGGAGAAACATAGTTTTTTCCATTGCTGGGATATTAGCCATTGCTGCAGCTATGCTGGTTGGCACAGCAACAAGGAAGCAGAAGAAAAAATCCTCCTTTGGGACACAGATTTGTGGACCCCGAGAATTTGAAAGGGAACCTGGGAAGTGAAAGATTCGAGATAGAGGAAGCAGGAGGATATTGGTTCTTAACCTCCCAGTTGGAGCAAGGCGGCAGCTGAGAGGAAAACAGGTCCCAGTCACACTGAGAAACACACAGCAATGATGATGCCCTTTGAAGCCAAGAAGAAATCAGTCCTGGCAATCTGTGACTGAACCTCTGCATAGAGAAAGGGGACAACTGTAGGTTTGGCAGGGTAGGAGAAGGGAGCGGGAGGTTGGCAGCATCTTGGGGAATGAGGAAGGAGGATGAGCATCTGATGTGTCTGGAAGCAGATGGTAGGGCCTGGAGGCTGCTGTTGTGGTCACCACTGCAGACACGTGCAGCATTTTGGAGTGTGAACAAGCTGGAGAGCAGGGCACTGCCATGCAAGGAGGCTCCCGGCCAATCCCCGGCACCAACAGTGTTACAGCTCAGCTCCCACCGCACGGCCCCCACTCTGCATACGCTCGCAGTTGTGTTTGAAATGGTTTGAAATGTGTTTGAAAACGGGGAGTTGGCCACTGCTGCCTATCGCCCTCCCACCCAGCTCCCCTCTGTGCCCTTTCTCTTTGCTCGTTGCCACAACGCCGCATGGGCTCTCACCTGCCCCCTTGCAAGCAGAGGGGATGCAGGGGTGGGGACCCTCCACGTTGCCCTCACGAGGCACCTCCAGGCCCCTTGGCCACAGGGGCTGCGGGAGGGAGGGCAGAGCCACACCGCAGACTTAGTGGCCAGCAGTGACTCCCCTTCCTGTGGCAAGGACTCACCTCCGGACACAAGCGCAGGCGCTGGGCTGTGCATCTGCCAAAACCCTTCTTCCCCAGCCCAACCACCACCTCTCACAGGGACATCCAGGCTCCACATTATTTCAGCGTGCATATTTATCGCTTTCCCCCCACAAGACATGTATTTGAATTTACTCTTGGTAAACATAACCACAGGAGATGCAAATATGTGCCGGGGAAGCATAAATAACTCCACACAGATAGACACACACACACAGACAGCAAACACAGACACGGTTCACCAAGGGAAACCAAGAAGTGCAGAGCACGCCCTGAGGCTGCCACCAGTCCCAATGGCTTTGCTCTCATCCACCAAGCCAAGAGGATTTCTTCTGCTCTTGCTTTGCAGCAGCTGGTGGGAGAATAAAGCTGGGGAGGAGGAGTCTAAAGTTGCAAATATCCCATGAAAGCATCATGGCAAGTCCTGGCTCTGCAGTTTCCTGCAATCATCTCCAAGGAATGGTTCCAGTTGTAGGAAGTTGCAAGTCTTTCACAGTGTGAAAGGGTGGAGGGGCATGGGGACCACCATGAGGGAGGAGCAGCAGGTCATCTTGTAATGTCCCAATTGCAGCCAGCCGATAAACCTTCATGTGGGAACATCGGGGCTAGATGCTCCATCTAGGTCCTCTTCTGCCCTCTCTAAGGTGC